CTGGTGACTGGCGCGGCGCGGAGGATGAACTCGGCGTGACAGGTGCGTGCTTCGCGGCGGGGCACAGCTCGCGGCGCGGCAAAAGTTAATGCTGGGGCCTCTGTCCGAGTCGTGGCGCGTGTCGCGGCGCGGTACGCGCGCGACGCCTGGACCGCTGCTTGGACCTTTTACACGACTTTTCTTCTCCTGCCCATAATTTGGTTATCCCAAAACTTTGGACCTGCACACCATAAACAAAGAAAAACAGGAAAAATACACGAAAAACACAAGAAAGAGCAAGAAGAGAGCAAACACGAAATAAACTGTAAAATGAACTCAAACTCGACTAAACAACCTAAATAGGGGAAAAAGAACAGAAAAATAGCAAGGAAAAATGCAACAAAAATGGGACAAACAGTATATATTCAAATAACTCTTATGTAGAGTATAGGTATGTAAATTTCCCATTATATATTGTCCAATTGCTTGCTTCCTCTTTGCCAAGCATTTTTATGTTGTCTTTCCCCGTCTCTTTTCATCTCAAAATCTCTCCATACTTTAACAGCCTTCATAGCACTATATCCCTTTACTTCCTCAATTTTTCTCTTAAATATCCAATTGTTTTATGTTTTTCATAACCACCAAAAATGTAGATTGACAAGATAATTCTATCATGCAAAAGCGTTTTGGCTCTTGCACATTTGGAGAAGATGATATACTTCAGGTTTTCCTTCTCCTCCCCTGCAAGTCTGCACAAATATTGTTTACAAATATTTCAATTTTGGCTAAAATATAATTCAATTTTTCATTTATATAGAAAATGAGAAAATAACAAACGCCCATCAATACACATTTTGGAGGATGAATTTACTCATCAAAGGATCATAAGAATGAACTAACAAAATATAAAATGATGTATCCCAACAAAAAAATATTTTCAAGACTCATACACTCCCAACATGTTGAATCACAAAACCATATATCTTCTTCTTCAACTGCTCGACTTTCTCCACGAGCAACTCGTCTTGTTTCGATGCCACACAGTCCAACCAGTTATTGACCCGCTTCATCTGTGATAAAATCGCTGCTATGGACACACTGTCCACACCACTACTCCCCAACACTTGAAAACCGGCACCGAGCGATGATTCCACGAACCTTACGAACCACATACTCATCTCCTTATGAAAATTCATACCGAGCTCGACAGTCTCATCCATTCCGATGCCCGGGCTCCATGCCCCGACTAACGATGAGGGGACTTTTGTGTCGTTAGTTTTGAAAGGAGTAGTTTTGGCGGACGTTCGTTTTTTGTCGGTCTTGGAAGGAGTCTGGAAGTTTTCATTGGTGAGGAGAGAGACTACCTCGAGATTAGTAGCCAGAGCAGCTTCCACCCAGAGTGTGCTGCTGTTGCTGCTCGATTTTAGTTGTTCGGTTAGGTGATTATTGTCGGTGATTGATGATGATGGTTTAAGGCTGCTGGAAATTGATTCGGCGAATACGGTCGATTTCAGGACATCCTCGTAGATGGACATGAAGCGGTCAATAGTCGGTAGCGGGTTTTCGGGCTTCGAGGTTGCAACGAGCTCTGAGAACATGCTGCAAACAATAAGAGATACTCTTTAAGAGATCAACGACGCAGAATACTAAATCCAAATGAAATTGGTACATATTCATTAGTGCAGAACTTTTTGAAATGTGTACACCATACTTAAAGATTATACGTAATTTTGATAAGAAATTTAGCTATACAATTTCATTTGATTTTGATCCTCTCAGCTATCAATTCCATATTTATTTGCTTGAATTAAATGGTTTTACATATATGTTGGAACATTATCTATGAATTAAAATTTGTTCCTTGTGTAAGTATCCAAGTTCATTATCCCCTCCTCTTCACATGTCTCGAAACTGTGTCGTTGTAACAAAGGAGATTTTCTACTATATATAAATATCAAAGTAATCTGTGTTTAATCTGATATGCTGACAGCAGAACATGAAAACAAACCCTTCTGACTGAAGTACAACAATTAAGCACATGGCAACAGAAACAACACAGAAGCTTCTGGATACTTTTCTTATACTATGTATGTGTACCTCAAATTCCTTGTGGTGATCCAATCAAACAAAAAGCTTTGTATTCTCATGTAATAGCAAATTATTAAATCAACACACAGAAACGTAGTTTCATGTACACAAAAATATGGGCAAACATCAATTTGCAAAGGATTTCAAACGACTAATGAATCTTGTTTGGAAACAAAAAGAAAAATAGAAAGCTAAAACAGTTGGAACTTTTCAGAACAACCAAATCCCGATATTTTGGCATTTTCAATTGATGTATATGCAGGTGACAGCGATGAGTACAAACCAGCTTCTCGAAGTGGAACACACATGCACACTCTTCACACAGGGGAAGGTTATTGATGGAACCATGAGAATGCCAAACATAACAGACACATAAACGTAATACGAATAACTAGAAATATATTTTCAGAAGCAACATTTACAGTAACACGACAGACCTAAAGGTCTAATAAAATGAAAACATTAAATAAGCTCCGCACATTTCATCGACAGAGCCATTTGAAACACAATAACTGAGTGGCACTACTATAATTATTTAATATGTCCCCAAAAAGCTAATGCACATTAGCTTTCAATATTAGGCAAAATTGTACAAGATTATCATCTCCAATTTTTGTACAAATATAAGCAGCATACCTTAGATTTCTAACAATTGATTCTGTGGCAATGGCCTCCTCCAAAGCTTCAGCAGCAACAGCTGATGCAATTCTTCTCCTTTGCATGGCATCCTGATCAAAGAACATATCAAAATCAGATTTTTGTATTAAGATGTAAATCACGAAGATCAATGAAATCATGATGGCCCTAAAGTAGCATGCTGGCACATAAAGTTTAAATTGTGAGTCTGCAGATGATACCTTGCCAAGTTTTGCAAGACCTGAAGAGACCATATCCAGTGACACACTGCCATCTGTCCATTTCTTTTCATGGACGGTGATCACTGGAGCCATACCATTAGTTTTCTCCTGCTCCATAGAGCTTTCAGATTTAACATCACTTGGCGGATTATCATGCACATCACTTAGACGCCTGGAAATAGCCGCCTAGAAAAAGAACAACATACATAGAGAGGCCATTTAAAATGCTCAATTGATTTCAAACAGTACATCTGAACTAAACTCGACACAGAGCAGAGAAATATCCATATGCTATCTAATTCTGTCATATAGGTCATATAATAGTGTAAAAGGCAGTAAACTAAGGAACAAGAATGAAATGCTTCTAAATAAAATATGAACTGAGATAAATAAGTAAAAGAAAATCACCTGAGTCCTCAAAATAGCCTGCAAATCAACCCTGTTCTTAGCTCCCGCCTTCTCCTTATTCTTGAAAGAGCTTCCGCCACTTGAATTCAGCCCATCATCCCAGCTCTTCCTACTCGATTTGCTGGACCCCACGAGGGCGTCAGATATCTTTGGAATCCCAGACAAAATGTTAGCCATCTTCTTCTTCCCCGACGAGTCAATTGCCCTGAACCCACCCGATAACCTCCGGCTAGGGGACATTGACATCCTCCTTGCCACGATGGGGCTTGCCTGCCGCCTCACAGCCGTCGGTGATGGCTGCCGGTATCTAGACGGCACGACTATCGCCTCCCTCGACCTTCTTCTATTATCATCCTTAGCTGCAGTAAGGCTGGGCACCCCGCACTTTGAAGGAACGGGTGAGGCAGACCTCTTCCCAGGCTTGGCAGCCGGAGAAGGATTCCTCTCGGCAGCCGCGGCTTTCCTGCCGGTGGATGCCGGTCTCTGCTTGACTGCTCCGGGCGAGGAAAACTTTTGTGAAACCTTACCCGACTCGGATTTAGGGTTACTAACCTGATCGTGGCCAGAATTCGAGGAAACATTAACGTTGACATTCTCCTTGCTTGTTTTAGATTCGGGGATTTTTTCCTCTTTTTTCCCAGCCTGGGAGAGGTAGGCGGCGATTGGGTTAGTGTCGGAGTCAGAGACGGGCTGAATCACGAATCCGGACTTGGACAGGGAGATCCGAGCGATTAGGAGCTCGGGAGAGCCGATGAAGGGGTGGCGGCCGGCGACGGGGCGGAGGTTGACGGGGGTGGGGAAGGGTGGTAAGTCGAATAGGAAGCAGTCGAGGTGGACGAACTGGCCAAGGTGGAGGCGATTGGCGAGGATGAGGTCGGTGTCGCGGTCGGAGAGGGAGACGTAGGTGGAGTTGAGGGAGTCGGACAGCTGGACGTAGAAGCCGCGTTGGGGCCAGAGGGAGTCGGCGGTGGAGAGGGCGGGGACGATGCCGATGACCTGGAGGAGGGGGCTGCGGTGGTCGCCGGTGACCTTGGCGGGGGTGTTCATCGACTGGAGGAGCTTGAGGAGGATGCCTGGGGTAAGGGTCGCCATTTGTTTCCGTTTCCGGTAAGGGAAAATTATCTGTGTGGTGGGAAAATGGGGGTATTGTTTCCTTTCGCCGGAAAATTATCTGGTGAAGAAGGTGAAGAGCTGAACATTGCTTATAGAGATTTTGATTTTGGACCGACCGTTGGGGGAAAGTGAAAAAATTCGAAAATTGCTCACAATTTTCTCCGCCTTTTGAATTTCTGTAACGGTGGTAATATAGCCACTTTATGGTACAAATTATTCCATATAAGCTTTCCAGTAAAAATTGTCAAAGTGACAATTGATCCAAAAAAATACAATAAATTCTAATAAAAAAATAATACTAAATAACCAATTAGTAATATGTCCTTAACTGAAAAAAAAAAGGTTTGAAAAGATCGTCAACTTCCTCCATTTATGCTGCTAATTCACACCTCAATCTTTTACCCACTCACTCGACAAGAACCTACGAAGAAAACGGACGAATGTCGTCCCTCTGATCACGCTCTTGTAGACCTCTCGCTTGTGTGCTCGCTCGACAAGAACATTTGTCTCCTCCCTAAGCCTCTTGCTCAGCAAAAATGTTCGTCTCCTCACTCGGCAAGAACGTTTGTCGCCTCTTGTAGGCCTTCTCACTCGGCAGGAAGAACGTCGTCCCTCTCTGCACCGGAAGAAAAAGCACCAACATTCTTCTGTTGTTGGTTCCATTGCTTTCATCCCTAATTCTGGCGCTCAGTCCTCCGAGCCAACATTCGTCTCATGTTGTAGGTTGTACAGTTTCAAAAGAAAAAAAAGGAACCTGCTACCAAGAGTAAGTCCCAACTTTATCCAAGTCGTCGATCATCTCGTGTAAGAGTTTGAAACTCATCTTGCTACCACTCTTGTCAACAAACAAGGTGGTGCCTAGCAACACCCACACCCAGGCAGTAGCCTCATTCACAGGCAATCGGGTTACCGTTGTCCCTTAAAATGCTTACAAAATGGCAGCAACTGTCACCGCACTGCACCACACTGTCAGAACGATTGTATCAGTTCATTCTTCGTCAGTTGTAGCATCTCCATGCAGTATGTCTGGCAGGAGCTAGCGTCGGGGTCCTGTGTAATTATATCTCCATTCACATGAACCCCCAAAATGGCCTAAACGTCGTGCATCATAATAGTCATTTCACCAAAAGGCATGTAAAACGAGTTAGTGTCCGGCTGCCTCCACAATGCTGAAATAAATGGAGTGTCCATGTGAGTATACGTGGAGTCCACCAGATGTGATAGCCCGGTCCGACTAATAAGATCGCAAGCAGTGGGAGGCATACTAGAGAGCCAAGTCCTCAACTTGTCTTGCGCTCCCTGTCTATTTTGGCATTTCAGCATGCTCTAAGCTCTCCAGTTCACATACGGGAGGCTATGTGCCCTAGAAAGCTAAGGATAACACTCTCATCAATGGGGCCATCGAGCACTGGGCCTGTAACGACCTAGGCATCCTCAAGTGCACTCCTAGATCGTTTGCTAGTATCTGCATTAGAATAGAACGTATATATACGACATATTGTGATTGTATGTATCAATGATATGCTATTATTAAATAAAAATATTTAATAACACACATCAATAAGTAAGTAAATTATTTACCTAATGATCCAGTGCCCGCATTATAAACGACTCCCAACACGTGGAGGAGCAGGTCGTACAGGAGCTTGTCGAGGGGAGGAGGAAAAATGTCTTCTCATATGCGTAGTCAAAGTCCTCAGAATCATCTGAGAACTGCAGTCTCTCGGATGTCGACTCATAATAATCATCCCGCTGCTGGAAAACGGGACTGCTGACCGGTCTGTACCAGAGCGAGGCATCTCGAACCGCTAGCCTGGTCAGCATGACCAGTCTGTCTCATGCGAATCTGATGCATCATCTCAGCGTCTCTCTCCCGACGGGTGGAAGTATTTGTCGGGGTCCATAATCAAAATACTCGCCAGTCTCTATATCGGTGGCCAGTCACGCAGGTCTACCACTAGTGTAAATTTATAATTTAAACTAATAATTAGTAACAACATTTTTAAATTCATATATTTTATTAATCATTATAAAATAATTGCAATTAACTATTTGTTACTAATATTTATGCAAACTAATCATAATTGATATTATTAGCTACTGGTATTTTCTAAAATACATTAATAAATATAGTAATTTATTTTCCTAAAATATCTTAAAAATCAATTTAGTAATTATTCGTATTCACATAATTAATATAATTTCACTTTTTGATTATATAATTATATAAAGTGATTAATTAAATATACAATTTTATTAACTTATATTAGAATACTCATTATAATTTTTGAAACTAATAACTATTCTTTTTTTTAAAAAACGATAGATAATATTATAAATCAAAATGCACAAACGTGCGAATATACAGCAGCCAACGGCTGAATACACAGCAGCCAACAGCTGAAAAAGTAGGAGGACAAGTCAGAAGACCGCCTAGAATCCCCGGCTAGCAACGCTAGAATAAAAAACACTCGCAACTAAACTAAAAAACCAACAACACAAACAACTAAAACAACTACCCGAGTGTCGGACCCCAACAAAGCAATACCCAAGTGTCGGACCCCAACAGGGTAATAAGGTGACACTCAGGTGTAAGTAACACTCGGGTTCACAGGGGTCAACGACCCAGACCAAAAATACGAGACACTCGCAACACTAATACAGAAATAAACCAAAGAACACAAGAAATGAAACATAAATAAACTAAATTAAAACTAGAAGCCCTTCCTCAGCGAACGAGCATGCCCGAACCAACAGTGAACAATCGACACAAGAGAAAATCCTAGCCAGAGAATACACTACCGAAACTGCGCGAACGCCTATACAAGTAGCCGAGACCGAGCCTGAACCACTCCCGAATCGACTCATCTTCAACTGAAAGAGAATCGACCAGCCCTCATACCGGACCACCCGAGCCCGTCTAACACCACTAGTCGAGCTCGGGTGCCCCCCGCCGCCTAACACCACTAGCCGGCAGGGGAGGATGAAGGTGGGTCTATCCCTTAACCCCGGCCACCACGACAGAAACGCCGTAGCGACCAGAGCCCCACCCCTCCGAGAGCTCGCACACCGCCCAACACCACCGCAAGGGGCCCAATCAGAGGCCCAGACCCCACCACCCAAAGGAGGCAGAGCTGTTAGGGTATACAGTAAAGCAAACTTTTATGTGAGCTTTTGGATTGTATTTATTCGATTTCCCACTTGACTGAAATAAATGTTTTCACATTGTTGCATTCTTTATGATTGCTTGTATGCTAAATGTCCAATTATCTTATATTGTAGACAATGTGGTGTGTTAGTAGTCACACAGAAGATTACATTGTCGGTCCCTTATAAGATATAAATGGTATTCACAACTGAGATAGTTATGGACATGACTATCAGTTTAGGTTGTAGTATAAACTGGATATAGCTTGTCTTGGCTATTGGTTTATACTAGTGCACTGCGTCGCATTGAATGGATCACAGTTGAGACGTGTTCTTCAGTTCTGACTATCATGAAGAACCTAGGTCTCGGTGACTCTATTAATTCTTAACCCTAATTATGATACTTAGATATGTGGGATATTTGTTTGTTACTTTGATTTACCATGGGTGAGAGCCAAGTATTGGTTCAATATGCTCTGTATCTTGGGTAACAACATTATCTGCATGATATCTATTTATTGGCATTAGGGCACCGTGTCCTGGACATCCAGGTTGATGACGTCCCCTTAAGGAACTCATAAGGATTATCGTATAAACCCTGCAGGTGGATTTATTCCGTACGATAATAAGGTTGAGTGGCACTACTTAAAGAATAAAAGATATTAATTAATTAAAGCAGTCAGAAGCTTTAATAATTAATGGACGTGCGATATCTTAAACACGGGGAATTATATTGAGTCTAATAGAAGCCCTGATTCATTTCGGGATAGGACGGGAGTGCAATATTAATTCTCTAGTGGAATGAATTAATATTTACAGGCCAAATTGTGTTTTGGGCCGAACATAAGAATTTGGGCCTGTAGGGAGCCCAAACCCTATACCTTCTAAGAGATCCCTAGTCTGGCCCAAGGACTCTATAAAAGGAGGGATAAGCACACGTTCTGAAACCCTAAGAGATCAGTTCACGTCTTCAGCCACCACACCAACGTGGGAGAAGGAAGAAGGAAACGTGAGGGGTTCAGAGAAGAACAAAGGCAATCCGCTCCTTTCAACCGTTTGGAGGATCGTCGTCCATCCGGCGTCCAAACGTGGTCGGGACACAGACTAGAAGATCGCTCAGATCGAATCGAAGCCTTGAAGAAAGGTATATCTCTGTTCGTCCTTTAGGAGCATGCTTAGGTTTATTAGAAATCATGTATGTACATGTTTGGTATCCGATATCGATCCGTGGGTAGGACCGCCTCGTCGGCGTGTTCCAGCAATTGGTATCAGAGCCTCGGTTTCGTAGATTGTCGGCTCTGCCTGGAACATGTAGTTGATTTCGTTTATTCGTTTATTCATTTTCAGTCGTGTTCATGGTATGGATGAATGTTTATCTCGTTTATGCTTCTGGATGGTGTCTATCGCAGCTCTTGTTGTTTGTTGTAATCGTTTTTCCCACCAGATAATAAGTGTGGGTAGTATAGGCGATTTTGTAGACTGTAGTAAAGCTGTTCTTGTTCGATTTTTTGCTGTAATTTTGTGTTCAAAGTCGAACGTGATGAAGATGATCAATCTGGAGGCGGCGGCTAGGGTTTCAGCATTCACCGGGGCCGGTTTTGTCGGCGAAAACCGTTTTGACCATAACTTTTGCTACAGGTGTCCGATTTCAGCCCATAATACCATTTCGGAAACGGGAGAGCGAGATCTACACATGTCACAGCTATGCTGTGACGGCCTGTGGCGGGGTCAAATTCAATCGTCTAGATGAAGTTTTCAGCCCTTTTCCGTCGGTGGGTGCGGACATTGCGTGAATGGCCCGATTTACGCGAGATGCCGATTCGAGTGTTCATCCACGATCTTGTTGAATCATGTAATAGCTTTGATAGGCTGTTAGTGGTTAGTTTTAAGGGGTTGCGATAGATGTGTTTTAATTTTTGCACTTTTATCGCTTTGTGGATGCCGATTTAATTTTTGCTAGAACATGTTTATTTGATTATGTGTCTAGCTGATTTAAATCGATTTTCTGGCATGCTAAAAATCATGTGAATAGGTACTATAAATTCTTAGAAAGCTGTCATTGCTTTTGTTTTGAATTTTAGGAGCATGCTAGAATTTATGTGATTTGCGTGTTAGGAGCATGATATGAATTGTATTATTTCTTATTGCATGTTGTTAAAGACCTTCAAGTAAAAATGACTAAGTGAGTTTAAGAATTTTAATTAATTCATTTGGCTTCTACAATTGGTCTTTAAGTAAGGTGTCTGTCGCTCGCGAGACCCTGGGAGTCTCCCCCTAACGGATGCGGCATTCACGAGCTTACTAGATAAGACTTCTATTCAAACGACTTAACCTTTAGGTGAAGTGAGTGGCATACGTGTGACCCTTGGGGTCTCCTCCCTAACGGATAGTGTCATCCATAAGCTCACCGGTAAAGATTATTTCGAGATAACCGTAGAAAATTATTTACAAGCGATGTGTCTTCCCCATTGGTAGGTTCGTCAATTGTGGATGATTGTTCTTGGGGTTAAATTGTG